TGCAATGTTACTTCAGGCTTTTGCTATGCTTCTCTGTCTTTAGGAATATTTGAAATTCCCTTAGTTAATTAGTTTATTTAAAATGATGAATTTAGATATACTTGAATGAGCTGAACCACATTATAAATGGTTATGGAATGCTTACTATACAGAAGGCACCAAGCTCAATGTTAAGCAAAATTTTATAGGAAACCTCCATTTGAATACAGTCCCAAAGGTTATAGGGTCATAAGCCTTAAAGTGCCATGTTTTCCAAACTGTGGATGACTTGTATGTCATATGAAGAAATCAACAAAGCCAAATGGATCAGGACAGAAAGGATGGAACTGATTTATGATGTTGCAAAGAAAGCTGTGGAGGAAGCAATTTAAGGACTTAAAAAATAATAAAAAGCCTAAATCCTGGGTCACTTTGTGGATTTATGTGACTTCTTTGCTTGCATTTCATTGTTTTCTTTTATAACTTAGGGCAGTATCAGTCTGTTCTTAAAAGTTAGATCCCTTATTTTTTATTCTCAAGGAGGGCATGTGCTGCTCTTCCTATTTCTTTAGGATGTGGGATTTAGTTGCTATAACGAAATGTTTATCTCTCCTATCCCTGTGTTTTCCTTGTCCTTCTTTAGAGGGTAAAAACTGGATTAGGATTAAGTGAAACAGTCTTGCAACTCAGGATCTTCCTATTGTATTTAAAATCTTGCAATTTGGATTTGAGATTTTTCTTATTTAGGCTAAACAGAGGTAATTATTTGTGTTTGAGAAGAAAGATATCACAAGGTAAAACTGCTAGCATTATCTTCTAGGGGAGGCTGGTGTGGAGCAACAAATAGGGTTACAGTCAGGGATCCTCAGCTTCGATAGCCAACTGGGCTTCCTAGGGATGTGCAGGAGGTGAGAGCTCGGCCATCCTCTCTGTCACAAAAGTCCTTCCTCCATTTAACAAAAGAAAGGCATTTCTTTTCCCATCCCAATCTAACCACGGCTGGTTAGAGTCTGCTCCAAATACAAAAAGTCCCAAGGGAGCAAACGAAGGGACAGTTCAAATGAGCACTTTTATTGGAGGCTACTTTCAAGACAGAGGCACATAATTTTTTCAAATTAATTTTAGCGGGTGTGCTGCGAAAAGGTTTGGAGGCCACAAGTAGAGTGGAAGCAATGACATATAATGGAAAAAGCACAGATTTCAGAGTCAGATGTATTTGGGATCATGTTTTGGCCTTATATCTTGGGGCAGTACTTATATCAGTGTTTTAGACCTCAACTAAAGCTCCTTAAATTTGTTCTTTCTTACCTATGATGCACTTCACTCATGGACAATGAGCCCTTCTTAGAGCTGCAGGCCCACTTCCCTCTGTGCTCCAGCCACACTTTCACAGAACTGCTGATGGCTCATCTGTCCCTCCCTAGACTGCAAACTATTTGTGAGCAAGGAGTGTGCATGCCCACTGTGTCTCCAGCACCTGGACCAATGCTCACACATAATACATTTGATAAATCATTTATTAAAAGAACACATAGTTCTAATACTTGTGAAATGCTTTTTACCCAGATGTAATTATGCTATTCAAATGATATTTGGATCTAAAAGGATATTAAGAATATTTCTGAGGCCATGGAGGTATTGAATTTAGCATATGGTCAAGGACATATGGTAACAAATTCATTACCTCATTCCTAAGATTTTTACATACAGATTTAAAAACATGCTTTAATAGGGAAAAATTCAAATATGTTAAAAAATAGAATAGCATGGTAAATTCCTGTGTACATATCATCTAGCTTTAACAATTATAGATTTATGGCAACCTCTTTCAGTTACATCCATCCCCCCTTACGCATCATCAGATTATTCTCAGTCAAACCTCAGACATTCTATTACTTCATTCATAAAATTTTCAGTTATACACAAATTTTAAAATTTAACCCACTATTCAATTTTATTTATTACAATAATTTAGTTGCTATAACTTTATGGACTTATTTTTTAATCAGCAACTTGGTATTTTTATAAAGGTTTCCTTTAGTAAATCTTTTATTAATATTTCCTTTTGCTTTTTCCCATAGGCCTATATAAACTTCTCCTAGCATTTAACTGGAAACTGAATACCAAGAGGAAGCTTAATTTGAAAAGTATTACCAAACTGGAATTCCAGGGAAGCTGGTCAGAGCTACTTCTGACTCAGATATTTTTTGCAAGCTTAAGGAACTGTGATGGCCAAGGGAGAAGCAGGATTTTAAATTCATATATATTCTCTCCCACTGGGTAAAGATCCCTATCAGCCCAGAGGCATGATAATCTGGTTATTTTGGTGAGAATCCAGTACCTCTAACTACAGCCACAGCTAACTTTGAAAAGTGATTCTTTCTTCTGGTGGTGACTTATAATCACATAAAGTCTTTGAAGATACATATTCTGGAATTTAAACAAACAAAGACAGGAGATAGAGAGTAGCACCTCTGCCCCAGTCAAGGGACAAGTTTTGGAACTGAGGAGTTTAAAAATGTATGTGAAATCCCATGCTCAGATCTTCAGTTTCTACAGTCATTCTCCAATAAAAGGAACCAGGTCTCCTTGGATAGTTGGCTGCATTTTGGACCAGGGCAAGAAACACAAGAGATGAGCATGAGCCTGGAACAGGGTAGTGCCAGAAAATAAGAAAATTCTACATAAAAACAACAAAAGAAACCTCAAATAAACAAAAAATGCATTCTAAACAAAAACCCCATAATGAATGTGTCAAAGAGACACAGGAGCCAACTTAGAATGTGAATGGCCAAAGCTGGTGGAATAGTCTGAGCAATGAAGAATTATTGAATAAGCTAAATTAAAGAAAAAAACTGTGCCTGAGTCCATACTGATAAGAATAAACAATTTAAAAATAAATGAGAAAGAAGAGACAAATTTCCCATGCATAAGAATTCCAAATAATTTTGTATCTGCTCTGATCCCAAGAGCATGGAACATAATTCCCCACTAAAGTGCAGGTTGTACACAATGACTTCCTTCCAAAGAGTACAGTATGGAGAAAAGGGGAAGGGAAAGAACTTCACAGTGGAGAAACTTGGAGCAAATACTGCAGGGATCAGTCATGTTGATAGTATGAACCACTGACATGATGTCATGAAAATGGGCACTTTACCTCTGTGGTTTTCCTTTCCAAACCCATAAAACCCAATCTAACTTTAAGAAAAATATCAGACATACGCCAACAGAGGGATTCTATCAAATACTTAACTAGTATGCCTCAAAACTATCAAGGACATCAAAAACAAGTAAAACCTGAGAAATTATCATAGCCAAGAGGAAAGTAAGTAGATGTGACAACTAAATGTAGTATCCTGAAACAGAAAAAGGATATTAGGTAAAAACTAAGGAAGTCTTAAAAAAAAAAACTATGACTTTAGCTATTAATATAAAAATATTGGTTCATTAATTGTAACATGTGTTCACAATAGTGTAAGATGTTATTAATAGGGGAAACTGTGTATGTGGTATAGGAAAACTCTGTGCTCTTTTTGCAAATCTAAAATTGTTCCAGTGAAGTTTTATTTAAAACTGTCTGCTCAGCTTTGATCTTACAGTAAAAAATTCATATGGACATATTTTCAAAAATTTTGATAGAAAAGTTTAGATTCACATATTTTACAGATACAATTTTGCCACATTATATACCCCCACCTGCCTTCCCCTCATTATTACCATCTTCCATTTCTATGGTAGTGTGGTAAAATTGTTAGAATTAATGCACCAATATGATATATCATTATTAACTAAATTCCACAGTCTAAATAAAGGTTCACTCTGTGTTGTACCGTTCTTTGGGTTCTGACAAAATATAAGGTCATGTATGTACCACTATAGTATCATACAAAGTAGTTTCACTGCCCTAAAAATATGTTTTACCTAGTTACCCCTCCTTAGCCCCATGAAGGGCTGTGCGGTGTACATTTAAAAAAGGCATCTAAACTCTAGACTATGAACTAGAGTATTGGAGGCTGAACTCTGTATTAAGTATTGGAGGCTGAACTCTGTGTGTGTGTAAGTGGGTGAGTATGTGTGTGTGTATACATGTATGTTCCTATGTGTTTATGTGTCCATCTTTCCATGTGTGGGGTAACCCAAGTTCCTGAATGTTTACAAATAGTCTTTGGGTTTAAAAAGGAAGCCAAAAGGGCTGATTCAACTCTTACCATCTTAGCTCTACTCTACATGCTTCAGCTTTCCCTGGCTGCCTGCCTCTCCTTCTGTTCTGAACCACAATGTAAGTGAGCCTTGCAGGGTGGGAAATGAGCCATGACATTCATGGCCAAAGAAGCCAGTGCACACACACACAAGCAGTGTGTATTTCTATTATGCTTTGGGAATGAAAGGAAAAGTGATATGTATCATTTTGTGATTCAGGAAAAGCAGTAATAAAAACCCTGACCTCCAGTTAGTGGAGGAAAAAAAAAATCATCCATCAATCAAGGGATGTGCTGATGCCCCAGTATTACTTTGGTTAGAAAAATAATCCCACAAAACCCCCACTTTTCTCTCCTTTGGGTCCTAAAACTTTCATCACCACACTGCAGCGCATCTGTAGAGAAAAGCATGTGGTGAGCAGGCATGTTCACCAGGGTCCTCAGTGGTTGTATTTGTAGCAGTTGATCCAGTTTTGGTCTTCCTCTGTGAGGGCAACTTCCACCCTGAAAAGGTGGAGAGGATTCTCCATCCCCAGTCTTCATTCTATATCTGAATCTGAATACTCTTCATTATATAATAAAGACAGACTTAGGTGATGTTTCTTTGCAACTCTGTGATCTTATTCTGGATTAAGGTAGCCAAGACAGGGTTGGAAATAAATACAGAAAACCAAATGGTGAAAAACTTTCTCTAAGAACAAGGGAAACCTGATCCCGGATAAGAGGCAGAGATGTAGTACTTGACTAAAAGTTAGCTGGATCTGACCAAATAAAACAGCAAAACATAGTAAGGGGTGTTTTATAAGATAAGATATTTCATACCTGCTTGTAGAAATATCCTCGAAAGGGTAGAGGATCTCTCCATTGTTACAGATTTCGCAGATGAACCCTTTCTGACTACAAAGACTGCAGCTGTACACGTGTGAGGTGGCAAATTTAATGACCTTGCCCAAGAACGGAGCCAGCTTTCCCTCTATCACCTGCAGAAAGAGAAATGGAACAGGGAAGCAAATTGTTGAGAACAGAAGACTTACAGACACAGGAAAGGGATTCCTTTCCTTTACACAACAGGAAAATCTCTAATTATAATTTCTCAGCAACTTTGAGGAAGAAAAGACATAGTATTTTTGCTCCAAAAGAACTCGGGTTTAAACCACTGGAAGCTGGAAAATGAAGATGCTGAAGCTTCTTTTGTATTTCTCTTTTTTTATAGTGTGGTTGTAGGGGATTGAGGACCAAAAGATGGGAACTCTACTTGAATAGACCAACTTCACAGTTATGGTATTGGTATAAGAGCAGTGTGGTAGGTTTCCTAAAATAGATGGGAAACATATAGGAAAAAGGTGAATGTAGAAGTTTATATGGTACATTTAGTAATACTTTTTCTCTGATAAATCAATGAGGTAGTTTTATCATCATCTCCCCCTCAAACACAAAGCAAATGTGGAAAAACAGGTTTCCTTAGCTGCTGGTGAGTACAATAATAGAAAGAGGCTGCAATGTGGCAGTTTGAGGGCCATTTTCAGCCTGTAAAAACAAAACAAAACAAAAACTCTAGTGTTTAAAAATAATGAGCCAATTTGGAGCTGGATGAGGTGGCATATGCCAGTAATCCCACTAACTTGGGAGGCTGAGGCAGGAGGACCACAAGTTTAAGGCTTCCTGAGCAAATTAGCAAAAACAAAAAGAAAAAGGGCTAAGGATGTAGCTCAGTAGTAGTTGCCTAGCAGGTGGGAAGCCCTGGGTTCAGTCCCCAGCACTAAAGGAAAAAAAAGTCAATTTAAAAATTGGGAGATTGCTCATAAAACACAGATTTTTAACCTTCTTTTGAAAAATCACAAGATCTAGCAGAACTACTCTAAATTCTGACCTGATTCTGAGTAGGGGTTGCCTGCTCCCCTAAGCCCCACCAGGCCCTGGTGTCTTGCATATGCTGCTCTTCCACTGTCACCTCACCTGCAAACACCTCTGAGTTTGGAACCCATGGTCAATCAGATCCCTCATCACTGAATTAACTTGATGGGCTTCAAAGACTTCAGCACGTCATACACCAACAAGATAAAAATCTGCCTTTACTCTTCTCTCATTAATGCATAACATGTGGATTTTGATATAAGAAAAAAATGAAGATTAGATTTAATTTAGAAATAGCCGGATGCCTTCTTTCAACTGAATACATAGTTAAAATTATAATTTTACATAGAACATCTGAGGGAAATGTACACCAAGAAATCATAATGTCAAGGTGACTAAGTAGTAGTGACAGGGAATAAAAAATAAAAAACAGAGAAGGTAATCATGCCCTTTACAAAACAATGAAGCTCTACTGCAGCTAGAAACTGAGATAGTTTTTAAACATCAGGATGATGCCACAGTGTTCTCAAATAATCAAAACAATGATAAACTCAGGGCAGCAGAACAAATCAGAGAAGCAATCTGTTACTTTGTATAAAGTTGTATCTTTGCATTTTTTTTTTGAGAGAGAGAGAATTTTTTAATATTTATTTTTTAGGTTTTGGTGGACACAACATCTTTATTTTATTTTTGTGTGGTGCTGAGGATCGGACCCAGGGCCCCACACATGCCAGGCGAGCGTGCTACGGCTTGAGCCACATCCCCAGCCCATGTTTTTGCATTTTTAAAAACAATTAATTAACAACATTATTTTTGCACTAAAATGCAGAAAATGAACAGAAAAAAAATCAAGTTAACAGCTTTTTAAGAGTGGAATTATTTTCCTTAACAAGTAGGGTAGAAAATATCTTAGCTGATTTTGGAGTCAGACAAGTGTTTTCCACCATTATTCAACTTATTCTTGCCTCCATAACTTTAGGAAGCTGAGGATAGACCTCCTTTCATTTCTCTTCTTTGTGGATCAATGACTCTGATAAACCCCAGTTTTAGGCATGCTCCTTATGACACATGACACATGCTTTCTAAGAAATAACCACTAACAAATCATATGCCTAACCACCATTAAACACTTCCCAATGTGTCATGGAGTAATTTCTAAATTGTGGTAATGATACTTCAGGTTGAATTTAGTTTTCTTATTTTACTCCACTCTAAACAACCAAGGTTAATGACTCATTTAAAGAGAGACACCAAAATTTTGAAGAGTATGGAAACCAAGTGAGTAAAGAGGAGGAGAGAAGCTGGGCGTAATGGGGCATGCCTGTAATCCTAGTGGCTTGGAAGGCTGAGGCAGGAGGATGGCAAATTCAAGGCCAGCCTCAGCGAAAGTGAGGTGCTAAGCAACTCAGTGAAACCCTGTTTCTAAATAAAATACAAAATAGGACTAGGGATGTGGCTTAGTGGTTGAGTGCCCCTGAGTTCAATTCCTGGTACTCTACCCCCTGCCCCCCATAAAAAGAGGATAAGAGAAGACCTTGAGGAAGACATGAGAGTTTTCACGTGGATATAAAGGAGGACTGAGCATCTTGTCATGAAGCTTTTTCTCTACCCTGAAAGAAGGTTTCACTGGGGCAAAGTGTATGAACATTTTGAAGGCTCTTGTAATATTTCACCAACTATACACTGCCATTTCCTATCTAGGGATTTTAGTGAATTTTTTGAAAATTAATTTGAGGATTTCTATCTTTATAATAGTCTATCAGAGAACCTGCTACATGTCTGTATTTTATTAAAACTTCATTTATTATTACTTAATAAAAACCAGTTTTGTTCCTTGCATACCATTCCCATGTATTATGTAGGTTCTTTCAAGGTTAACCCTTTTGAATAATATTTTTATTAGCTTTTGCTGGGATATTAGAACATCTTGACATATGTGTTCATCTTATACATGACCATATTACTTCATTTTCATCAATGGTAATCATTTTTAGGTGATTTTCTTGGGTATTATGAAAACAAAAAATGGATTCCTTCCTTTTTAATACTATGCCTCTTGCTTAAGCTTTATGTCATATTGCATGATTTATGGCTTCTAAAACAATATTAAGTGACAATAATAGTGTTAGTGGTTGTTCTTGTTATTTCATTGAGAGTCAAATTCAAAGTATGAAGTCTACTGTGAATGACTCATTTTCTCCACCAAATATCCTGTCATTTACCATGTTATTGATTTCTTCTCCCTCTTTTAAGTAACAGCTTTATAGACAGATAATTCATATATCATACAATTCAATTATTCAAAATCTAAAATTTAGGGCTGGGGATGTAGTTCAAGGTAGAACACTTGTCTAACATGTTTGAGGCCTTGGGGTTGAACCCCAGCACTGTAAAACAAACAAAACACCCCCCTAATCAGAAAACAAAAAATCTCTCCAAACTCTACAACTCGATTATCCTTAGTTTATTCGTAACTATATCACTAGAATCAGTTTTAGACATTTCACCAACTTTCTTCTAAACCCCCACACATATTAGTAATTACTCCCCATCTTTCCCTGCCCTTTCTTTTTCTATAAATTTGCCTAGTTAATATAAATAGAATCATACAACATGTGGTATTTTTATGGTATTTTTTCAGTGTTTCCACTGTAAGTCTCTTTTTTTTTCCATCCTACCCAATCCTCTTATTACCCATCTCTAGATTAATGAGATAATCTAGTTTTATACATCACTTTTATCATATACCATCTTTTCTCTCAAGGCTTTGGTGAATTATTGTTTTTTCACTAATAAAAACTCTTCCACATTCTTTTCATAAAATTTTACTGAGTTACAATGTCTCAAACACCTGATTCAAGGATAAATGGCACAAAACTGGGATTTATGTTTTGCTTGGTGTGCAAGAGTCTCCGTAAGTTGACTCTACACTATTGATCCCAACTTATTTTCCATTTTTCAAAAACTCATCTTGTGTTGTAAGCAAAATTTCCCTGCACAAAGTATGCTTTCTCTTGCTCCTGAGCCCTTATTCATGTCATCTCCTCTATTGACAGTTTTACCTCTTAAAACTCATTTAAATTTTACATAGGCTTCATGGCTTAGGTCTATTCTGGTTTGATCTGAAAAGCTATCTTTGGCTACTTCAGCTCCATGGACCTTTTATGCTTATCCTTATTTACTTTCACATCAAAATATTTAATTTTGCTGTTTTGTGCTCTGTTCTATTATTTAATATGTGAGTGATTTGCTTATCCAATCATATTGACCATACAAAAATAATGAGTTTTGACCATTTGTACCTACAAACCTGGAAAATTTACATGGGGCAACTAAAGGAAAGTAAATTGCTTGAAGGGAAAGAGTCCCTCCCTGTCAGTTCTCGTTGACTAACCCAGAATGCATTTCTGTCCCTTCCCTTAGCTGTTGGCAGTCATATTTTGGGGTTATCTTTGTGTCACAGCATTTTCAGTCACTGTGTTATATGGTTTAGGGAGAAGCATAAACAGTGCCTGGACCAGGTGGCAGATCACTTATTTAGGAATCCTTTTTGCTTCTTCATACTTGATTAATTGCTTTTCTTATTTGTCAGCTTAAGTTGGTGGCCGGGTTCCACATGGCTAAAGTTGCTGGAATATTTTCTTTCTCCAGAAAACTGAGGTAATATTCTTAAATTTATTTTAGAAATTACAAACATTCCTTTAATATTATAGAAAGGAAAATGTTATAATTTTCCAGGGATAAGATATTTAAAAGGCTTAAATCTTGTCTCTGAATATGACTATTGGTGGCATTAGGAATAGAATCCAGTTATTTTGGTTTCTGGTCTAGAAGTTTCATCATTATGAAAAGTGGGCTCAGGTATGTTATTTCCTAGGTTTTGTTTTTAAATAAGGTATATCTTTATTTTGGTTGAATCCTCAAAAATAAATCAATTGTCATTTCTTCCACAGCTTCCCCTCCACTGCTAATAACCTTGTACTATTCATGCCAACTTCCTAACCTTAAGGTTAAGTGCTGATGAAGAGCCACCCCTAGCAAGAGGGCAGCTTCAAATAAGACCAAAGCTCAAGGAGACTAATACCATCAGGTTCCAACTGAGAATGAAGAATAGAAAAGAGCCGTT